CGCACTCATAGAGAATCCTGAAAATCTTGTAAAGCTAGATCAAAAGCATCTTTTGGCCGTATTGCATGGATACGATCATGAAACTCAACAACGTGAAGACCGTGGCATGGCGGAAACACGCAGCAATGCGGACCGAAGAACCCTTAAACCCCTAAAAGTGACTGGCATCTAGTTTTTATCCTTACATTATCACCCCTGAATGCCATGTGAACGTCATGAGTACAAAAGAAATGATCACCAACTAAAGAAGTTCTTGGTTGTTCAACAGATTCTCCTCGTTAGGTCCTAAGGAAATGTATAGAGAACAGTATGGAGAATATGTATACTGATGTTAGGGTGTAAAGGGTCAGCAAGGTCCAGGTTGAAAATTTTCATGCATACTACGAGGATAGGAATTTCGACAAGCGATTTTATATGCGCAATCATGATGTGAATTAAGATTTTAAATTCCAAGCCTTGTGACTTCAGTGAAGAAGGATGTTCTTCAGTGACTAGGCATACCCAGAGAAAACCTTGGAGCTTTCCCATTTGGATTCGAAGTTACGACCATCCGATTACTACTTTGGGCGCTCTACCAATCAGCTACAGCTGTATAAGAGACCCGTGGTAATGTTATCAGTTTAACAAGATTCATGCCGACAAACCTCTTGCACTCTACAAGCATAGGATTGTTGATATGTGATGCTTATGCGCAATGATAAAGTAATTGAAGGAAGTAACTGGTTATTTATGTTAAACATGTTATAGAGTGGATTTGGCAAGCATGATCGAAGTAAAAAAAACTTCCAATACTGCCAATACGAGTCCAATCAACGACTTTCCGATTCGTAGTTCGGACGCTGGACGACCAACCTGTAGAGGACTCGTGACAGGTTGGCCGTTTAAATAGGTCATGGTGACAAACTTCCTGCGAAGAGAGGAATGTCGATATGTAATGTTTATGCGCAATTATAGTGTACATGGAGATGAAAAATTTTGAGCCTAGTTATCAAAGTTGAGAAGGAAAAGGTTATGCGGTGATTGACACA